TTCATGGTCCAGTGGGCCCCCTGGTGGAGTCTATCCGTGACGTGGGCGTCACGTGATTGAGTGAAGAAGAATGTCACAGACAAAAAATCCCACATCGACTAGGTGTAGGGCCGAAAAACAGTATTTAAACCTTGGGCTGCCCACCAACTCGAAGAGCTCTTTTGGGAGATGACAAACAACTGAGTTTGCCTTTCAATTAAAATTGACTAGAGTGTTAAAATAATTCCCAAACAAAAATTATAAAAGTATTAAATTAATTTTCAATTATTTGAAAATTAAACTCTAATAATCATTTTAAATTTTAAGAAATGAAATACACTTCTTCAGACATACATAAGGTGACGTGTCTGTCAAAATTGAAGCCTAGTGGTTAGACATGTAAAAACATAGGAAATGCGTTATATGCATATGTCTTCCAAAATGTAAATATTTTCCTGTCTATCATGACGGTTAATATTAACAAATATTGAATCGAATAAATCTCAAAGTGATAATGTATACACAAAACAAGTATATGGGAATTTTTCACTGAAACCTGCTCAAAGAATTAAACTCACCTGTTGAATTGGTTGAATCAAACACATATGGCAAAGGGCCGAATCAACACCACCTAGCGAAGTGGCTGATCAGATCATCTTTATCTGGCTCAAGAAGATAATCTGGCCTACGTATATAAGGGTGATAAATAATTTTAGAAAGTCGCCATGATCATGACTAGCCAAGACATCCATCAACCATTCATTAAAGATGCGGTCTGACATTGGGAATTTATAATATATAAAAAAATTATTATATTTCTTAACATTAGTAACGACTTTCGACAAATACATTAAGCTCTTCAAATTATGAATATAATTTTAGTGCTATAATTTTCCACATACATTTAGGCAACACTGGTGAATCCTATAATTTCCCAGGCATGCCAAACTCCTCAAATTTACTGTCTAAGGCTATGAAAAAAGCTTGTGAATTCACAATCTCGTTTTTGACTAACTAAAAATCTAGCTGATATGCCATCTATAATTATTTGAACAAAAAATATTTAAACCTAAATTAAAAATCATCCAAAACTCCGATTTTAGCAAACTTATATTCAATCCGATCAGTTCGAGGAGACGAACACAATAACACAAAAATTGGTTCAATCCGAGTCAAATCAGACCCAAATCAATCCATTAAGTTATTTTCAAAACTTTTGATGCATAATTGGAAGTTCAAATGAATTCCCAATCTGACAAGCTTGTAGTCATATCGAGCATTTCGATGAGACAAATCTATCGAGCTTAAAATCACTCATTTCCAACTCCACTAACACACTCAAATCTCGTGGGGATCTTCCTGGGTTGTCAGATGGAGTGGCTTAGATTCTTTCCTTGTGTCGGAAGATCTCTCTCGAACTCTAAATGGATTCATACCCCCTCATTAAGAAGGGACTTAGAGCTTGAACATGAGGAACACTGAAATTTGCAGGAGGAGCAAAACCTTTGTGCTCTACACAGAAAGTTCATTGAAACTTGTTCGTTCCTGTAATCGCCGACCACCGCCAACAACCATCGCCACACATGCTCTTTACAACAAAAATCTCTTGCAAAGTCACAATGAGAACTACAGAATCCCAAAATTGCGAAATAGCAAAACACCCGATGAAGCAATATATCATTTAATACAAAGTACAACAATGCACCTCGTAGATAGTGTGTTGGAGTTCCAACAACTATCCCAAACTGCAATCACTTCTGACCATTTGTAACAAATATTGCATATTGAAGAATAGTATAGCCCTTTCTCACTTGTGGGGACAAGAACCTTTACGCGTAATCTCCAATTCATAATGGACTATTCTGACTGACTTAAGCTATGTTTTTCTTTTGTTTTTTTTACTTTTTCACGTAAAAAATTTTAGCATATCTACCTGTCACTTTTATTACCGACTGTGTATTGAATTCTTGTGCAATGCTAAAACGACGCACATCTCCTAGCACACATTACTAATGTTCAATTAATTCCTTCAGCAGGTCAAGCACGATGAGACTTTTGTTTGATAATGTGGTTCAGTATTGATTTAATATATAATAGCAATAATAATAATAGAGGCATGTACATACATATCACACAATTCTCATTTACATATATAACACCCTCACTTTCCTATTTACATGTAAAATACTCAAATCTATAACATCACATCAAAAATTCCACTATTACAATACACCTTTTCAAACTTAACATTCGGGCAACAAAATGTAATAAATGTAAATATAAAAATTTAGGCATTAAATAAGTAAATATATAAAAAATTTGTGGCAAGTATGTAAATCTACAATAGTAATAATAATACAAAAGATGAGAAAATCCTCCTAAAAACTCCTAGTCGGCTATTCCTTTGTTCTGCAAAGTAAATAGAATAACAAAGATTAAAAACACAACATATATTAGTTCTTTTCTTTAGCATCATTTGGTCATATGACAGTACTTAGCCATTTGAAGCATGCTTCACAAATATGGTAAAACAAAAAGCATCAACTTAAAGTTAACTTCAAGTTATATGTTATATTGCATTTTTTTTAGGGTTTATACATAGCACCCAGAACATTGCTATTTACAAATCTAGCACCCTCTTTCATCCAATTATTAATTTCTCACTCAAACATCAAAATTCATGATAAAACTACAACTCATAATTTTCATTTTCATCATAATCTCAATAGTTTAACCATGACACATAAATTCATTTGTTCACTAGTTCAAATTAACATCTAGGGCTAGATTTTATAAATAACAAGACTATGTAATTATCACTATTTTATATCAACTTTTAAATCATACTTTATATTTTATAATTGTTGATAAATATAATTATAAATTATTAATCTTGTATAACTTATTAGTGTTTTAACTAAAAAAAAATACTACTTTGCTCTGAGCTTTAAGCTTTGAAGCAAAAATAGAGACTTGTGCATTACATTGAGTTTGTTGCTTTTGATCATACTATTTCAAACATAAGCCAAACACACCAAATTTCAAGCAAGAGAAGTGCGACCAAATTCTCAGCTCGCTCGAGCTCCACTCATTTACATCTCCAATCCTGCTTAAATTAAAACGTTTATTTTCCCTATAAACTATATTTTAATCATGTAATTTCTAAAATTTAAATCAACAGCATACCATGTAAGACACAGCTATACAAAAACAGCCATGAATATGTAGTTTACACTAAGTTCGTCATAAAAAGTAAACTGTTAAGTAAAACTACTTGGAACTCCTAACCAAACAAAAAAATGGCTTTAAGGCTAAGTACATCTATTTTAATTAGGGGTGCAAATGAGCCGAGCCGGCTCATTAACGAGCTCATGAGCCAAACTTATCAAGCCATGAGCTCGAGCTTAAACTGGTTAAACGAGCTCGCGCTCATCCCGGCTCGGCTCGATTAGCCTACCACTTGTTATTTCGATACATTTTTTGTTGAGCTCCCTTTGCCTCATTCAGCCACCAATACCTTCTCCGACGAGCTAGGTTATTTCGATACAATTTTTGTTGAGCTCCCTTTGCCTCCTCATTCAGCCACCAATACCTTCTCCGACGAGCTATCGTAAAAATTGAGTTTTTAATTTGAGCTCGTGAGCCGGCCGGCTGCCAACAGTACGAGCACAGCTAGAGCTCACCATTCAAGCCCAACTCGAGCTCGAGCTCAAAATTTGCAAGACAAGTTGAGTTCAAGCTTGGCATGGCCGAGCTCAACTCGACTAATTTGCACCCCTAAGTGTAATCAAAATGGAACAAAACACCCATGAAATCAAGAGATTAACATCAGTTAACCGCTTGTAGTACAAATAATACACAATAATCCAAAAAGCGGGGCAAATATCTGACTTGCTATTTAAGATTCAAAAATGATTAAATGGCTTGAAGAAGTCTGGTAAGAAACTCGAACTTACATTAGAATTTGAGGGGGGTAAATTACTGAAGCTCAGCTTCTACTGGCCCTGATTCTATCTTTTGGCAACGTTCTTGAATCCAGGGTTGAAAGCACCTGGGGCATTGACATTCCCCCAGATACAACAATCTCTGTTTAAAAAAACAATGACCGATAATAAAAAACAAAAAAAATCAATAAGAAGTTATTGCATTAGGTTATTAATGCATTTGTACCTAATGATAGGGGGTGTGTAAAGATACTAAATTTATATCATAATCTTCTGATGCAATTTATATCAACATAATATGATAAGATATTCAGAGTTATAAGGCAAATGTTCCAGTTAGTATATGTACATTCATACCCACACAATTGTGATGTATTTACATATCTAAAACCTAAATATTCGTACTTAAATCCATAGGTTTATAACATTATCAAATTTTAGGATTTAGATGTGTAATTACATCAGAACTGTGTGGTATGATTGCAATTAATCCATTTGTGTTGTTTTCTATTTCCTTTTAAATTTCTTTTAATTTTGAGCGACTATTTAATAGCTCTAAGGAATTTTATCATGCCACCTTGATATAAATTACAAGAATTTCTGATACAATATATTTTGTGGGAATAGGATTTACTTAAATATCACATTATTTTTATGTATTTACATATCTGACAAAAATATACACACTCAAATTCTTAACATCATATCAAAAGTACAGCTAATATTAACTCTTCTAAAGTAAAATACATCTTTCCGTATATGTTTAGATATAATATGACATTAAAGGTTATATACGTAAATATAAAAGTTCAGATAAAAGATATGTAAATGCATAAGAATTATATGGGAATATATGTAAATCCCTCGTTGTTTCCTAGTGTTAGCAGCTAGTAAACAAAATTATCATGTTGAAAGCTCAAGAAACTTGTTACTCACCGATTCCTTCGCGGACAGATAGATTTGGCCGAATAACATCCATAGAATTTATCAGAAATATATCACCAAGGTAGAGGTGATTGGTTGGAACATACACACAGTAGAGCTCCTCATCAACCGAATAGTTCTGTAATGGCAATAGAGAGATCTTTTTACAAGGCACATAAGCATAATAGAGGATTTGGAAGGCTCACATTTTCAGGGAACTAAAGAGAAAGGTACTGTAAATATAACAGTTATTGGCCAAGTCAAAATAAACTTTCCATCAGACCATACGAGTAGTAAAAAGCTAAAACACATCAGGAAATAGACCTAATCTTCACAGCGATACTAAATAAATCAAGCAAATTTACTTATAAATAAACCATGCAAACTTAATTTAGTTAATATTAGTCTTTAAGCAATACCACTACCCTCATATTCCACATAAAAGACAGCACTAAGATTTTCCAAATTTACATTCTAAGCTATACATAACATTCGCTGCAACTTGAAGCTTGACTAGAGCATGCCAACTCTTTATCTTATCTTCCTAAATTCTACTCTAGGGCAACTCTCACAGTGCACAAAATACTTCATAGAAAGTATGATTCATGACAATGATATGTAAATACATATGAATTATGTGCTATGTATGCAAATGTCTTTTTTAAAAAAAATCAAGAATTTAATATAGCCACAATATATTTTTTTGGTGAACATAAACCAAATTGCTAGGCAATCCTATGGCAATAGAAATTGGCCACCAGAAAACATAAAATAGTAAAAATACCCATAGAAATAGATCATCCGTATGATAGAGAAAAATGAGAGGAACTTAATTTTGTGCTGGTAACCCCACAGCACACAAAAGACTGCACAGAACAACAATATTTATGACTGATTTCAATTCATCTCAGGTTTTGGGCAAAGGTTTGATGCTATTATAGTGTTCGAATAATATTCCAATAAAAATGTGTTCAAATTTTCTACTATTTTAAATATACATCTAAGAAAATGTGTCCAATAAATATTGATTGATATATAATTGCATAAATGTATATATATTACTATTTCAATATATGGAATATATGTGTGTATATCTCCATGCAAGTATTCATATACATTACAATCTAATCTTGAGCTAGCTAGTTCCAATTTAGGTTTGATCCAAGTAAAGTTCAATTTGAGCTGGACTTGGCTATTTAGTCTGTTCGATAACTATGGTTGAAACTCAATCCGAGCTAAAAGTCAATCCAAATTTTTAGGAACCTACAATCTTTGAGCCAACCAAATCCACATCCCTAATAGAGGATTTTTTGGGTGTGCACTAGTATGGGCCACGGTTATTGCTATTTGAGAATATACAGCACAGATGTGATTAAAAGTAAGTAAATTTTGGAAGTTTTTGGCTGTATGCAACGTATAAGTTTAATGACTCCCTTTTAGAAGTCTTTCTATTCTCAAAGTGGCGTGAATTAGCTGTAGAAAATTCAATTATTATACAGAAACATCAAAGAAAGGAGCTAGTGCTTCTAATTATTTGAAAACCTAACTTAAGTGAAGCTTTATGATGTAAAGCAAAACAAACTCTAAAATTTTAATTCTACTGCTGTACTGGACTTGACAAAATTTAAAAAAAAAACTTGAACCGAAAGTTAACAAAAACCAAGGAGAAAAAAATTACAATTATATATGCTTGTGGATCATACAACACAAAAAAACCAAAATTACATGCACTACTGAAAGACACAAAATAAACATGATCAACCGATGATAATATGACTAATCGATAATACAATAGTAACTAGTCTGCAAATGTTAGCCTTAAATACAATCAACCACTAATTGTGATTGGCTTAGATATATATGATCAATTACACAAAAAAATCTGGAAAATAATGAGAAAAATGTAGAATGTTGTTGACCTCATTTTTGGTGAGGTCTTAGTCTCCTACTCTTAGAACCTAGGATCTAGCTTTAGGAGTTCTTATTGACAATCCTAGCGGACTAGCAATGGAGCCCACCTCCCGTAGAACTTCAAGCCACTTCTTGACTCATTTTTGTGAAGAACTCGCATGAGTGGTTCCAAGCACTCAACTTCTAGTTGCAAGGGCTAAGGACCAACATGTAGAGGACCTGAAATTGAGTTCCTATAGGATCAAATAGCCTTAGGTGAACCCTTTGTGACTCGATTATTCGTGAACGCCGCAATTCATACACTCACTGCACCAGGACATGAATCGACTCGCCCGTCGGCAAACTCGTCCGGACGACCCCGGATGACGAAACGGATCGCGCCAACGCGTCCGGAACATCAAATTTAACTAGAAAGGACACCCATATTGCTATGATTTCGCGCACGAGCGACTAACACGAAAATCGATGCACGATAGCGGGGCGCGGGCCCGGACTCAGCCGAGGCCCAGGTTCAACTCAGGTTCAATTTGGGCTGAACTCGGGCTGAACAAATGTTAAACCATTTTGAATTTTAAATTTTTGAATTTCAAATTCGTCATTTAATTTTATCTTAATTGGGAGTCAAAATTTTCCATTTGAACCCAGCTACGTGAATGGAAACAAATTAATTCCCCGCCTAATCTCCCTTAACGTTCACCTCGGCTATACAATCCCGCTTAGCTCCTTCCTGGCATGGTCTCTCCTGTTTGGCTCCTCTCTTCTTCCGCTCTGCACCGAAAACTCCTCACTCTCACGCTCGAGCTCCTTCCCCCGGCTGGCCGCGCTTCTTCCCTTTACTACCGAAGCTCGTGGCTATCCCTTTCTCCCGATCCGTCTTCACAGAGAAGCATCGTAGCCTCCCTCCACTCGTGACCGAACCCAGCCCCATCTCCCTATCTCGATCGCAGCCTAGGCGATCGCCTCCACCGAAATCCCAACTGAAACCCTTCATCGATCCCGCCTCTGCGCTAAGACCTGCGATTCGTTCCCTTCTTCCTCGATCGCCTACCTCGACAGCTTCGTGAATAACGATCTTCTTCCTCACGCAGAAGCACCTGCTTCGCCTCCCCTCTTGCGAACTCCCCTCCACACCGAAACTTCGCCTCTCCCATTCGGCTCTCTTCTCCTCTGCAT